TTACCTCCCTGGGACAGGGAAAACAGACTCCCCAGGGGACCAGGAGATGCCACCATACGCCCTGCAGCGTGGTGCTTAGAAAGTGCCGAGGTTGGAGGGAACGCACACCAAGCCCCCGTGACCACAATGAACATACGGGGAGAAGGACAGAGCCCTCCTGGCTCCGGGCTGGAATGAGGTTCAGATGGCATCATTTGTTCACTCATTCATTCAGGGACAGTCACCAAGCACCCACTGCAGGCCAGCATGGCTCCAGGCACCAGACAAATGGGAAGGAGACCCGTGGCTGTCACACGTCAGCCAATAGGAGGCATCGCTGTCTGAGTGCGGACCCTGCAGGTAAGCCCATGGGAACTGCAGCCCTTGTGGCCCAGGCTGGGCTGCGTGCTCCACCGGGTCGGGCGGGTCAGACAGCCACGATCTCCCATCTGTGCCTTTCCCTGTTCCTAAAGTGCCCTCCTGCCTACCTTACGGTCCTCCGATCCTCTCAGTGGCCCAGCTGGGTTAAGCCCCAGCTCTGTGCACAGACACACCCTGACCTCACTGGGAAGACAAAGTGAAATCCTAACCTTGGCCTCTGTCAAGACACAGGGACAAAGACAAATTCAAAATTCTTCAAGTAGTTGAAATAAACATTCTAGGAAAACGGTGAAAGCAACACAGTAGAACTCCACTTAAATACTCATTAGAAGCCATAAGCGGAGACCCTGATCAGCGCATGAAAATGCACGAGACATTCTGTTGTAAGAGAAACGAAGACATAACACACACCCGCCAGTCATGCCTGTGTTAAATTCCTGGCTGAGGTGGGACACTCTGCTCCAGAAGCAGGGAGTCGAGGCCAGGAGTAGCTCCAGCCCCCTGCACGGGGTCCCTTCCCCGACGTGAACAGGCAGGTGCCCTCATGGCTACGATCACACGAGAAGGAGGACCGTGTGGACATGCAGGAGGGCAGAGGAGAACAGAGGTAAAAAATTTTAAGTTTTTGTGATTATTTTGGCTAAATTCTCTGATTGTATGATACCAAATTTTAAAAAACATAGTTTGTTTTAGCAGTAAAAGAAAACAGCCAAATTTCTCTACAAGATACGACACTGTGGGTCAGCGAAGTGGAACCGAATCGGAGGAGGCGAGTTCTGCCCTCGGCACCCCTCCTGGAGCTGTGCCCCCGCCCCAGGCCCAGGCCTTCTCTGCGGCACATCCTGGGTCCTGCCCCGACCAGGCTGGGGGCTCTAGGGGCGTGTGTGAATGTGGCTGGGGCCTGCTTCAAGAAACACCGCCCCCTGCCCCAACACTCAGGAAAACTGACCTATGATGGAACCACGCCAAAAGCGAGGAACGGAGAGACAGGAGACTAACGACCCAGTGAGTTCTGACACTTGTCTCCACGTCCCCTGAATGAACGAGTTCCAGGACGGGGACCTCAACAGAGCCCACGGCAGGCGGCTAAACAGGTATTTCAGAATCGTCACATTGTGTACTTTAAACATTAGGGTTTGTCTTGAATAATATTGGTTACTCAAAACTTTAACCCGTGATTGAAATCCACAAGGTATTTAAATACATGGTAAAGGAGGTTCGAAACTAAACCAGATATAACGATGTTTGCCCAGAACGTTGCTCTCAACGTGTCATGGTTTTAGGGTGCGTTATTTGCAATACTAAGCTACCAGTGAGGTTTGATTGAGCACATTCTGCGTGTGTCCCCACACTGACTCGGTTTATGAACTGGTGTGACCCAGCAACCCCACTCCTAGGTACGTACCCCAAGAAACTGAAAGCAAGGACTCGGAGACATTTGCGCACCATGATGTTCAAAGCAGCATTTGTCACAATAGCCAGAGCAGGAAGCAGCCCCAGTGTCCAAGTGCCCGATAGACGGATAAACAACATGTGGTCCATCCACACAGTGGGATGTTATTCAGCCTTGAAAAGGAAGTTCTGACGCACGGATGGATCTCGAGGACAGTGAAATAGGCCAAGCCCAGAAGGACGGATACTGTATGATCCCACTTGACACGAGGACCTGGAGCAGTCGGCTTCGCAGAGACAGAAAGCAGGACGGTGGGTGCTGGGGGCAGGGGGAGGGAGTGTTTAATGGGGACAGAGTTTCAGTTTGAGAGGATGAGAAAGTTCTGGAGACGGATGGTGGCGATGGCTGCACGACAGTGGGAACGTGCTTAATGCCCGACTGTGCACTTAAGAACAGTTATGGGCCGGGTGCAGTGGCTCATGCCTGGAATCCTGGGTGATGGAGCAAGACCCCATCTCAAAAAAAAAAAATATTTATGATAGTAAATTATATGTGGTGTGCATTTTATCACAATAAAAAAATTGGAGGAAAAGGTTACCAGGTCAGAAGAAAAGTCCTTGTTACACTCTCTAGATGTCTTCCTGCTTCTACTTTTCTCACAGGGAAGGACACGATGGGGACACAGGTGGCACCTGCCCTGCAAGGGCCTCCGATGCAAGCACTCAATTGACTTTCACCCCCAGGAGAACATCACATTGAGGGTGAGATATCTCTGGACGTCTGCAGCCCAGCTCCTCGGACCAAAACAAGACAAAGGGGAAAAGTGGCTTCTCTCCCCATTGCTGTCATGGGCCCCTGGCTCTGCCAGCCACCAGGGCTTGAGTTCCAGGGTGACCTTGGGCTTCACCTGCTGTCTCCTTCACCTACGCAACCCACGGCCACTCGGGTGTGGCCCTTGCCTCTGGGGCCTCCCTGCTGCCCCACTCCATGCAGACACCACACTGACCTTCCCAAAGCACCCAAATTCCTCTGTCACTCCAAAGCATCTGTGGCTCGCTGCTGCCTGCTAAGCAAGATCTCAACTGCAGGCCTGCTGGTCAGGGGAGACCCTGCGGACTCCATGCTCTGCTCTCCCCCGGCAGAGCCCACGGCCCGTCCCCATCCCCAGGGGGTGGGGGAGGTAGTTGAGCGTGCAGGCTCTGGAGTCAGACCTGGACTCAACTCCTTGTTCTACCGCACCTCTCTATCTGGTGTCCTCACCAGGGAAAAGGATGCTAATGCCACAGGTCTCAGAGCGGAGATGAGATGCCAACAGGAAGCACAGTCGTCATCTGCCTTCGCCATACGCACCCGGGTTCTGCTGACCTCACCTGCTCTACTTCGAGCATCTAAGCCTCACTCCCCTGCAGGTCCAGCTCAAAGCCCACCTTCTCCAGGAGCCCCTCGCTCCTCTGAACACCGTCTTGAGGGTGTTTGACCCTACTGGTCCGATCAGAGGTTTCCTGCCCTGTCTCACAACCCGAGGCCACGCGTTCCTCCAGGGCACAGCCACCTTGTCGAGGTGGTGACAGCAAACAGCCCACGCAATGCAGCATCCCTGGCACCAGAGACAACCGCTGAATGGAAAGGGGTCCCAGCAGGTGTCGACATGACGGTGGCTCTTCAGAAATTATTTAAACACTGGACTCCTCAAGTCTGAGTATCTTTGCTGCTGCCTATTTAAAAGGGGAGCTTCAAAAAGGAAGGTGGTGGCCAGGCATGGTGGCACGTCTATAATCCCAGCACTCTGGTAGGCTGATTGAGCCCAGGGGTTCCAGACCAGCCTGGGCAACACAGCAATACCCTGGCTCTTCTAAAAATAGAAAAACTAGTCAGGTGTGGTGGCACCTGTAATCCCAGCTACCCAGGTGGCTGAGGCAGGAGGGTCGCTCGAGCCCGGGAGTTTGGGGCTGCAGTGAGCTATGACGATGCCACTGCACTCCAGCCTGGGTGACAGAGCGAGATCCTGTGTTTTTTGTTTTTTTTAAAGGAAGGTGGGTTGTTCTGACATGGCGGAGACCCCAGTCTGACGACCACCCAGAGGCCCCAGGCCCCATCTGGAGCTGGGAAACGCAGACGCGCCACCCAGGAGACGCAGGGTGAGGACATCCTGACCGAGCACTGCCAGCTGTTCAGGGACCAGGCAGCAGTGAGCAAACACTGCAGACGAGGAAGAGGAGGTCAAGCATGATGCCTGACACCACGCGATAATTGCCACTGTCTTGTTAATTATGGGTCAAAAGGTAGGACTACGGGCCGGGCGCGGTGGCTCACGCCTGTAATCCTAGCACTCTGGGAGGCCGAGGCGGTTGGATCACTCAAGGTCAGGAGTTCGAGACCAGCCTGAACAAGAGCGAACCCCCGTCTCTACTAAAAAATAAGAAGAAATGATCTGGACAACTAAAAATATATATATATACAGAAAAAATTAGCCGGGCATGGTGGCGCATGCCTGTAGTCCCAGCTACTGGGGAGGCTGAGGCAGGAGGATCGCTTGAGCCCAGGAGTTTGAGGTTGCTGTGAGCTAGGCTGACACCACGGCACTCTAGCCCGGGGAACAGAGTGAGACTGTCTCAAAAGAAAAAAATAAAAAAAGGTAGGACTACGAAGGACCTTGAACCAGATATTTAAAGAGCCTCCTGCACTAGCACGACACTGTCACCAAGTCAGGGCCCACCAAACCCGAGGACTCAAGGGGCAAGAACACTTGTCCCCAGGGGCAAGAACACTGAGCTAACCCAACCCACCAGCCTCTCCTCAGTGACGCTGGATGTCAGCGTCCAATGTATCCCAGTGACAAACACCAATCCGCAGTGTTCCTGCCAAGTGCAGATCCTACCAGGAGCAGCTGGAGTTAGGAATCCTGCTTCCCTAGCTCCAACCGCAAAGTACAGCTCATCTCAGACTTCATCTCACAGAGGAAGAAGCCCTGAACATCTAATGAGGTTACCTTTTCAAATACATCACCTGTTAAAAGAACTTTCAATTTTGCAGGATTTGTCTGCTACCCTTGTATGAAAAAAAAAATGGTCGGATCTGCTTTCAACTTTAAGCTCCTCCCTTCCCCGGAAGACAACCGTGAACCCCCTTCCTTTAAGGGGCTCCTGGCCCAGACCCTACCCGGCGGGTGTCACACAACCAGAATGACCACACGACCAGAGACAGGGCAGCCGGGACACTTTACTCCAGAGATTCCTCCCACGTTTCATATTAAATATCTGAAATATATTAATCTTAAAAAAATATCAACACAGTACTCAATGAATAGAGGCAGTGGAGTAAACAAGACGTCCAGGTCGCAAAATCGTAGGTCACGTAAAAAACTGGAGTGTGTGGAGCCGCGGGCGCCAAGCCGGGGGACAGAGGCGGCCGGCGCTCAGTCTCGGAGGAGGTTTTCCGGCTTGGGGTAGCCAAAGAGAACGAAGTCTGCCTCGTAGAGTTTGTACAGCTGCTGCCGCCAGGCCAGGGGGATCTTGGCGAACCAGTCCTCCTCCCAGCTGCTGGCGGTCCTGTTCCGGTAGCTCGGGGGGAAGCGCAGACGCCCGTCCACCCTGAGCAGCCGCAGCAGCTGCGCCGCGTCCTCGTCCAGCGTCTCCAGCTTGCCCACGAAGTCGTAGTCGATCTGGCACGGGTGGCAGAGGCGGTATACCTGCCGCCAGTGCTCGTTGAAGGGCGCCAGGCGCTCGGTGCGCGGGTCCAGCAGGTACTGGATGAAGTTGGCGAAGGACACCCGGAGGCCCGCGCCGAAGGCCTCGCCCACCGAGCTGGGCGGGCTGCTGAGGTTGGCGTACAGCCGCAGCATGGGCATGGCGAACCTGCGGTAGAACTCCTCGTTCTCCAGCTCGAACTTGCTGCGGAAGGCCGAGATGAGGCGCACGAAGGGGTCGCGCACGAACAGGAACTTGGTGTACTTTTTCAGCTTGATCTTCATGAGGTGGCGCGAGAACCTGCCGTAGCGCCGCCAGAACTTGTTGAAGGTCAGGTGCGTGCTGGAGTTGTGCACGTGCTCCCGCGGGATGTCCAGCGGGTCGCGGTAGGGCGCGCCGCGGTCCAGCAGGCTCTCGCTCAGCACGATCATCACGCGCTTCCAGTTGGTGCAGGCCACCTTGGGCACGTAGCAGTAGATGACGCCGTGCCGGTCGTCCACGATGAGGTGGTTCAGCTCGTAGTTGGGGATGTCGTCGAACGAGCGCTCCTTGGTGGGGAAGGCCAGGCTGGCGTTGGCGCAGGAGGCCCGCAGCACGCGCCTGCGCTCCGCCTGCTGCCGGCCCTGGTCAGGGCTCTGCCGGGCGCCGTGCGGGGACCAATCGTAGCCCCGCACGCTCTCCTCCAGGCGGCTCTGCGCCGGCCTGCTGGGCGCCGCGGGCGGCGGCTCCGTCTTCCTCCCGGAAAGGTCGCCAGGCTTCCCGGAGCCGAGCAGCGTGTCCAGAAACTCCTCCGCGTCCTGGTCCTCGCCCTGCCCGGGGGTGGGGTGCGGCCTGGAGAAGGACGTGTGCAGGTAGAAGTGGGCGGTGCCCACGTTGTCCCAGTACACGATGATGAGCAGGATCATGAGGAAGGACCCCAGCGCCAGCCACAGCCGGAAGAGCCGGGGCCTGGCCATGCTGCCCGGCCGGGCCCCCCGGGGGCCCCCAACGCAACCTCCCCGAAAAAACGGAAAACCCCCCGGAAGAAACCGGAAGGGGGAAAAAAAAACGAAATACAAAACGAAAAAAAGGAAGGGCCCCCCCCCGAACCCCGGGGGAACTGGAAGGCCCCCGGAAAAGGGCCTGCCGGCCCCCCAAAACCCCCCCCCGGCAACCAACCGGTAACCCCCCCCCGCCCCCCCCACCTGTCAGGTACCTGATGAGCAGCTCCGCCCCTTGGTCCAAAGCAAGAGTGACCAAGAGGGGTGCGAGCATGCTGAAACGGCGGGGGCACTGCGAGAGGGGGGCGCCCACCCCGGTGAAGAGGAGCGATGGGGAAACAGTAACAAAGAGGCTAAAGCTCAAGGTTACAGAGACGCTGAAGACAGCCCTCCCCTGCCACCCCTCCGGGGTACACAGACCAGACAACGTGAGAGATGGGCCCTGCCTCTGGCTACGATGCAGGTGCAGGGTGACCAAGAAAGCAGCAAGTCCCGCCTCATCTGCACCCTCAACGTGGAAAGAGCAGAATGTATGAGGTGAGTGGGCACCAGGGGTCTGCCTGGCTGCTGGGGTGGCCCATGTGAACGCCCTCCAGGCTCCAAGGGCCCATCAGCACCCCTGCAGGGGACACACAACAGCAGCAGTGCCTCTGCTGAGGACAGGGATGGATGCCTGATCCCCAACAACAGAAGGGGGCAGGAGAGCCGGGAGGGAGGGTTCTGGGTAACAGCTCCTGACAGCCTGCAGGTCCCCAGGCTATAGCAGGGTGGGCCAGCAGGCCAGGCCAGCTCAGGGCGCCAGGGTGGAGAAGTGCAGGCCAGGTGATAGCAGACATGTAGCCATTTACAACTGCAATAAAGGCTATGGACCACAGTCAGCGTGGATGCTGGCAGCGCAGAGCATTCCTGGCCCGGCCCCGCTCAGCAAACACTGAGCACAGTTCTGTCCCAGGGGCTTCGCTGAGTGCCAGGGACATCCTGGGAGAAAAGACGTTGTCTCTGGCCAGTTGTGCAGATAGAGAAAGCTGACTGAGTTGTGGGAAGGCCGGCTCAGAGGTGAGTAGTGCCCTAGCTGGCTTCACTCCCAGTGCAAGACCAAGTGGCCCACTCCTCCCAAATCCTTCTTCCTACCACTCAAAACTCTGGTGTAACACAACACACTTCAGGAAGACCCTGGAAGGTGGAAAGAAGACTGCAGACAGGCCAGGGACCTGGGGGCTGAAGGAGTGACAAGGGGTGAGCTCCCTGGGTTCCTTGACTCCCGTGTGCACAGGTCAGGGCTGCAGAAGCCTCTGACCCCAAGCCATCAATAGGCACAGACAAAACATCTCCTAGAAGCACCTGCTCCCCTTGCCAAAGGGCCGGGCCATGTAGTAAAAATCTGACTTGCCTAGAGAGGTGTCTGGCCTTAGCCCTCGATTTCTGGGAGGTGACCTCTAAGCCCTCGGGTGCCCTGCCTGATTGGAGTCTTTGTTTTCCTGGGGGCTTTGGGCCATGCTAGAGAGTCAACAGTGTGCCTTATGACGGGGGCTCTGGGCCATGCAGTGTCAGCTCAACTTCCAGAGGGCCTGGGGTGGAGGTCAGCCGTGTGCAGAGTCAGCATGTCCACGTGGTGGAGCCCCAGCAAAGACTCTGAAAACCAAGGCTCAGTGGAGATCCCCTGGTGGCAACACCCGTGCACGGTAACTCTTCCCTTGGCTGATTTTAATCTTTTAATCTGTCTCCCTTCCCTGTAATAAACCATAACCATGAATGTAACAGCTTTCTATGAGTTAGTTGTGTGCCTTCTAGCGAATCACCAAACCCGAGGGTGGTCTTGGGGATGCCTGCATTTGCTATTGGTGTCACAGTGAGAGGTCTTAGAAGCTATTCCCTAACTTCACAGTGACCTAACAGAAAGATCTTTTTAGCATCACCTGCTCTACTTAAGCCAAACACAAATGGAAAAACCGCAACCCACAGTTTCATCAAAGACGCCCTAGGACCCGATCTTCCATACCACCCCTTGCCCCACAAAAGCAGGGGGCACACTCTTGTTCCCCTACCAGGCATGGGGTGGTGCTGACAGGGAGCTGACCCCCCATCCTCTGCCCATGGAAGCAGAAGGTGCTCTGACTGTCCCACCAGGGCAGTGTCGGTGGGGTCCTGGGGGAGCTAAGCCTTGACCCCACCTGGCATCCTGGGGTGGAACGAGTCATTAGAGGTGGGGCTAGCTGGCACTCCTCTTCCTCCCCCAACCGGATGTTGACGGAAAACATTTGTCATGCAGACATTAATCAAAAGAAAGCCCAGTGTGGCTATATCAATACCGGATGAAGTAAACTTCAGAAGGAAAAAAAAAGTTACTGGAGACAAAAAGGGACATTACATAAAAAAATTTCAATCTAGTAGGAAGACATAATAATCATAAATGTGTATGCACCAAACAACAGAGCCTCAAAATACATAAAGCAAAAATTGATAGAGCTAAAGGATAAATAGACAAATCCACAATTATAGCTGGAGACTACTAGACAGAAACCCCGCAAGGATACAGAACTCAACACCAGCAACCGACAGGGTCTGATGCATGCAGAGCACTCCACCAAACAACACTCAACCAAACACATCTTATCCCAAGCACTCACAAAACACTCACCATAGTAGACCATACCCCAACAAATGTTAAATGAAATCACAGTTTTCTAGCCATAAAGGAATAAAACTAGAAATTGACAACAGGACAATCTCTAAACACTTGGAAATTAAATGACATACTTCTCAATAATCTCAAAGGAAATTTTCAAAATACATAGAACTGAATGACAGTATAACATATCAAAATACAAGGATGTAGCCAACGCAGTGCCCAGAGCAGTAGAAAACAGGAAAGATCTCAAATTAATAATCTAAGATCTTATTTCAAGAAACCAGAAAGAGAAGAGCAGGATAAACCAAAAGCAAGCAGAAGGAAGAAAATAACAGCAGAAATCGATGAAATTGAAAACAGGTGGGCGACAGAGAAAATCAATGAAACAAAAAGCAAACTCTTAGGGGAAAAAAATTAAGGAAATTGATAAGTCTCTAAAAAGACTGACAAAGACAGAAAAAGAAGACACAAATCACCTTTATCAGAAATAAAACGGGGGCCAGGCGTGGTGGCTCACGCCTGTAATCCTAGCACTCTGGGAGGCCGAGGCGGGTGGATCGTTTGAGTTCAGGAGTTCGAGACCAGCCTGAGCAAGAGCAAGACCCCATCTCTACCAAAAATAGAAAGAAATTAATTGGACAGCTAAAAATATATATAGAAAAAATTAGCCGGGCATGGTGGCACATGCCTATAGTCCCAGCTACTCGGGAGGCTGAGGCAGGAGGATCGCTTGAGCCCAGGAGTCTGAGGTTGCTGTGAGCTAGGCTGACGCCACGGCACTCTAGCCCGGGCAACACAGTGAGACTCTGTCTCACAAAAAAAAAAAAAGAAATGGGATAATATTATAGATCCTGTGGACACTAAAGGACAAGGGACAACTATGAACAACTTCATGCTCACACATTTAGCACCTTTGATGACACAGACCAATTCCTTGACAACCACACAAACTACCAAGATGAATAATCCTATACTCATTAAAGAAACTGAATTTGTAATTTAAAATCTCCTAAAAAAGAAATCTCCATGGTTTCACTGAAGAATTCTATCATTTAAATAACAACATTGATTTTATATGATCTTTTACAAAAAAAGAGAAGACAGAACACTTCCAACTCATTACCCAAACCAGACAAAACAGTAGAAAAAAAGAGAAAGCTACAGGCCAGTATCACCCCTGAAACTAGATGCAAAAATCCTCCAAATATTAGTTAACCAAATCTAGCAATGTATAAAAAGAATTACATCATGACCCAGTGGGATTTATTCTGGGTGTGCAAGGATGCTTCAGCGTCCAAAAATCAACCATGCACTCTACCACATCAACAGGCTAAAGAGTCAACTCATACAGAGAAAGCATTTGACAAAACCCAACATCCATTCATTATAAAAACTCTCAGCAAACTAGGAGAACTTCCTTAACTTGACAAATAGCACCTACAAAAACCTACTGCTAACCCAACACCATACTTAATGGTGAAAGATTGAATGCTTGACCGCTAAGACCAGGAACAAGCAAGGACCCCCCCAACCCACCATCACCAGTGGACACTTGCTCATTCTACTGCTCTCGACTCAGTGCTCACATGCTCAGCAAAGCCTCTCCCAATTGGGTCAAATCCCCAGGTATGAACGCTCCACTGATCTCATCTATAATCATGTACTCGCTCTCCCTCACACAGCCCCGGGAGGGGGCTCTGTCCAGCTCTGCTCACCACGTTCCAGGCACACAGCAGGGGTACAGTAGATGTCAGTTGAATGAAAGCTGCAGAAGCTCTGTGTCACAGCAGCCTTGCTCTGGAGGGACCCTCATGACCAGGTCCCTCACGCTCCACGGCAGGTCCTTTTCTGGTATGTGCCTGGGCTGTGTTCCTGCCTTGGCTTCTTGCTAAGGACACTAGATCTTTTACAGAAACGAGTTCCAGCCCCAAAACGTTCGTGCCCATTCTAGCTGCCTCTTTTGCCGCCAGCACCTCCTGGCAGCTCCCTTCTCCCTGCATAGGCTCTGAGGTCCAGCCTGGACGGAACTTCTCAGGTTCCCCACTTGTCTCCCTTCCAGCTTGCCACTGTCTTCTGCTAGGCCCTCCCTCAAATGCTCTAGTCCCCCAACCCCTGGCACATCTGGCCCACCCTACCACCAACTGAGTCCAAGTTCTCCCAGAATCCAGATTCAGAAAGATGGATAGCCTAGAAAGATGAAAATAAAGTTGACAATAAGAAATTTAAATTGGGATAAAGGTTAAGTTCTCCACCTAAAAAAAAAAAAGAGATCAATTATACAGGATCGGAGAAGACCTCCCAATTTGACACAAGGCAAAAAGGGATGAGCTTGAGAAAGGAGAATGCGGTGCTATTTTG